AGCAGCAGGCAGCGCTGATGGCATCAGTGGGTCAGGGAGGATATCTCAGCCCTATGGCGGCTTTTGCTGCCGCACAGATGCAACAGATGGCCACCATCAACGGCCTCCCAGGGGCTCCCATGACCCCAACATCAGGTGAGGAAATACACACACACACACACAGACATTCTCAGACTGTATTGGTTTCAACTTCAAAGTCTTTTAATTATTTTTGGTTATCATTTTTGCTTTTTTCCCCTTACTAAGTCATAGTAAATAAGAGTGTTTTAACGGCCTCGTTTCGCTTTTCGACGGCTTTCAGCCTCACCCTGCTTCATTCTGCTACGTTAATAAATCATTAGCTCATCCATGAACATGATTTCTGCCCAAGACCCGTCGGATTGCTTTGGCTGTGGGGATGAAGATGACAACTCCCATGATTCCACACTCAGTCACAGCGTCATCAAACTATGCCTTTGTTTCTGTTTATTTTGAATACGCGCCCTCTAGTGGCGAAAAATTACATATTGTGCCTTTAAGTAAAAAATTGAAACTCATTTATTATATGAATAATAATACATAATTTAAACTTTAGAAATAATAGTAATTAGTAATAAAATGAACAAATAATTTAAATTTATTTGGTAACACTTTACAATACGTTTAAAATATGCTCTCTTCTCTTTGGCCCCGCACCCAGGTGGAAGCACGCCCCCTGGCATCACAGCTCCCACGGTGACCAGCATTCCATCTCCGATTAGTGTCAACGGTTTCACAGGGCTGCCTCCTCCTCAGGCCAACGGCCAGGCCCCAGCGGAGGCCATGTTTACCAATGGGATCCATCCTTACCCAGGTACTACATGCTCTCATCCACAGATATACAGCAGAAATATAGCAGATTTTAACTTTAAATTATATTTAAAAACTCTATAGACAAACTTTATGGTTACACTTTGCAACAGTAATATACAGGACTAATAATAACATTTTTATGTTGTCATCCTATTTTGACGATTAATGTCAGTGAATTACAGTATTTCTTGCAGTGTAATCAAATTTTATGTTTGTACATTGTGCACTGTTTACTTATGTGTTTAGGAATATAAGTGTTCTTCCTTTTGATGAGTCTGCAGTCTTTTAGTAAACACAAAAGCATGTCATTAAATATGTTTCTAGAAGTTTCTACTTTAACTGCGTTTGGAAATGCCCAGTGGTCGGCTGGTAGCTGTCCAAGTGCGAGTCTGTGTGTGTTGTGGATTGGTATTCACGTCCAGTGCCACAAAAAAAAAAAAAAAAGCAAATGCCTGTCTCCTGGCTGTATCCCAGTTTTGCAGGAAGTGGT